ACCTGGTAAATGATGCAGTGACATCATCACTGTGTTATACGTGGTGGGCCCCGTTCCTAGATAAGTGTACCACATCCCCTAAAGTATTAGAACTGATGGGTAACAGAACTGATGGGTAACAGAACTGATGGGTAACAGAACTGATGGGTAACAAAACTGATGGGTAACAAAACTGATGGGTAACAAAACTGATGGGTAACAGAACTGATGGGTAACAGAACTGATGGGTAACAAAACTGATGGGTAACAAAACTGATGGGTAACAAAACTGATGGGTAACATGTTCTGTTACCCATCAGTTCTAACACATATCCTGCGCAGACAGGATACAGCAGGCTCCACCCACTACAGGCTGCCTGCAGAAAATTACAGGAGGGGGCGGAGACAAGACCAGTCACCCTGCACAAGGAGAGAGGACAGCAGTGAGCGGTCTTTATTACAGGAGGGGGTGGAGAAAAGACAATATTTGCTTATCCTTATTTCCTAACAAGAAAAATGGCAGCTCCCACATACTGTATGTATATCTACAACTGTTTACAGAGTAAGTTATTTAAAAAGCAGCTGCATTACAACATAGCAATATTATTACACACGTGAAGTTGAGCTTTTTCATATTTGTTTCTTTTTAAAAAAAAATATAATATTAAAAAGAAGACTGCAGATCCCAACAATATATAGCCTGAGGTTTGGAGTGTGGAGCTGGAGTATGTAGTGTGTATTGCCTGTATGATCTGTAATACACGGATAGAAGAGTGCAAGCTGCGGGATGATATGGCGAATCTGCCACTTAGCAGGTCACATTGTTAATTTGCAGGAAAAGAGTCGCAGGCCTCGTATGTCATTCGTATAAGGCAGGAAAAAAGCAAGTATTTTGGGATTTGTCTTGTGGGCATGTTACATTTTTGGTAAAAGATGCAATCACACATAACAGGTAGAGACAGCTGGAAGATTGCAATTTTGCTGGTAAATTAACATTTAGTATAGAACCTGACTACGCTCCACGGAAGTGTACAAAAAAATCAATGCTGAAGTTTCTTATACCTGCGTATTATATATCATACAGGCGACATACATACATCAGGTGAACTGTATATGTGTTGATGAAAATAATGTCAATACATGAAGGCACATATGCACACATACAATATATATACATATACACATTACACACACAATGTGTATATTAGAGCTGCAGCTAACGATTATTTTCAAAATCGATTGCTTACATCTTAACTGCAGTTTAGATATTAAAATACAAAAAAGTAAAAGTGTTTATTTATTTAAAAAAATATTTTTCTTTTTTAGCAGCTAGTATAAATATATAAATGTGCCTTTTTTTTATCCTCTAATAATCCACGTTGCAGCAGTAGCCATACTAAGAAATGGAGAGGCAGGACGCCTGAGGTCCTGATTGGCCAGCTTCCCGACCAAAAAGGAAGCCTGGCAACAAATAATGACTGAAGCTCTGAATGACTGAATACCAGAAGCTCAGGTATCGGGCTAGGCATCAGAGCATTTGGGTGAGTACTCGTCCAAATACTTGGCATCGGCACCGATAGCAGTATCGGTGCATAATCCCTAATAGCAATAAGTCTTTGGGTTATGCAAGATATACTGTAGCCTTGACTGTGTCCTTCACTTGAAACTCCTAAGCTCAATCATTTTGACATACTATTCCCCATATGGTGTAAGTAGTTGGTAATCTGTATATATACAGTGTAATACATACAATATACAGTAGAATGATTTCCTTTGATGCTATACAACCTCAACCTCTGTCAATATACAGCTATATACATGTATCACCATTCATGTAGCTGGCTTCATGGAAAACATGAGATATGACATGCCCCCCAAGGAGTTTCTGCTCACCCACTTTGCTGTCATAAGAGCATATTGGCGCATTCTTCCACATCAATGTATTTGTGGCATTAGACGAACTCGTCAGTAATAAGGAAGGGATTTACAGGTTCTGCGCTCATACAATTTAAATGGTTTGCTGGAATCTCGAGTGTTCATCCTATCTGTATGTTAAGCGAGAGACTCAATCCCTCATAAGATCTGCTCTTGACATCGGTGTACTTGACTGACAACCTGAGCCAGGAGGAAGAATGCTGCTTTCCAATAGGAAAGGAGCGGCTTATTTATAGTCACAAATTAACTGCAAACCATTTATATGTTAATGATCTACCTGCGGGATTCTTAAGCGGCACAGTGTATTTGTGGCTTGTTTGTGTGGGATTTATCCGTTCATGTCAGGGAATATAGGGGAGGAAGGAGGAATGAAGTGAACGCAGTGGCATGCCCCGGTGCTCTCATTTACCGTGAATAATAGTCTACAGAGCACTAAACAGTGTGTGAATAATTACATTTCTCAAAAATGAACTCTAGGCAGCTACAAAAGACACAAATTAATGCAGTTTTTCATCATTAATTCATCATTAATCTTTTTTTTTTAATAAATGCAAGCAGTGTAAGTTTGACCTGGCATCAGCCTCATGCAGTCACTGAAAAGCAGAGCTCAGAGTATAACAGGAAAAAGCAGCCCAGTGTCAATGGAATGTTTATGTGTTGGCAAGAAGCATGCAGATAGGAGAGGAAAACAGAGTGAAAGAGAGATGAACCCATCGCTGTGCTGCTTCTCCTTCACTGTCCAATCACAGGCTGGGGAAGGTTCAATGACAGCCTGGGCTCAGAGGAAGTGAGTTTAATGATGCTGGCCATCATTCAGCCTGAAAGACTGAGGATATCTAGTGGCAGAAGAGAGGTACTAGTGCCGCGCAGCTCTGAATTTATGCAAGTATTGTAGTAAAATCTGCTTTTTAGTTTAACTTTTAACAGGCTATTCATTATTTCTGCTTTAATTTTGGCTGGAGTTCTGCTTTAAGTGAAAAAATGATTTACCTCGTTACAATGACATCTGGAAGTGGGTGGGATATATTAGGCAGCAAGTAAACATTTTGAGGATGATGAAGCAGAAAAAATGGGCAAGCATTTGAGCGACTCACACAAGGGCCAAATTGTAATGTCTAGACAACTGGATCAGAGCAATGCCAAAACTGCTGGGATGTTCACGGTCTGCAGTGGTCAGAACTGACCAAAAGTGGTCCAAGGAAGGAAAAACGGTGATGCGATGACAGGTTCATGGGCGGCCAAGACTCATTGATGCATGAGGGGAGCGAAGACTGGCCGGTGTAGGCAAATCCAATAGAAGAGCTACTGTAGCTCAAAATGCTGGTTGTTGTCTGAACACACAACACATGTCAGCTGCATAACTGCAGACCAGTAAGGGTCTCCATGCTGACTCGTGTCCATTGCCAAAAGCGTCTACCATGGGCACATGGGGATCAGAAGTGGACCACAGAGCAATTAAAGAAATTGTCCTGGTCTGATGAATCACATTTTCTTTTACATCATGTGGATGGCTGGGTCATGTGTGTCACTTACCTGCACTATGGAAAGAAGGCAAGCAAGTGTAGGCAGTGTGATGCTTTGGGCAATGTTTTAGTGAATGGGCTAGTGCGTTGTGGCAGCTCTGGCAGTGTGTGTTGTATCACTTTTAGAGCGAAATCCCAGTTCCTTTTGTAGCAGTCCTAACTACTGTATGCTATATTGGTTGCATAGCCCTCACTCCTTGATGCAGAGTCGTTGGGGCAGTGACAGCAAGTGTACCTATGCACAGTTGAAGTCTAGAAGTGTAACAACACTGCAGTAATTAAAGTCATGCTGTCACCCCTTAGGAGGAAATTATGTCACAGCACCAGTACTAGCGGTATCACCAGGTACGTTGACCATTTAATAAAGGGGAAATATTTTTGCCTAGAGAAATATTTAAACTCTACTCTCCTTAACCTCCCTGCAACACTCTTCAGAATCTTTTTTACTGTACAGTATGTCATAGGCCATCTTGACTTTGCCTTGTTTGGTGTTAAGATGAATCTTACTAGTCCAAACCTGACCTACTCACTTCCTCCAAGCTCTCCAGTTACTACATTTATCTACCAAAGGAAAGGGGTCTAACCCTGTGTAAGCTACATATTTGAGGGTGTTGAAGACGTTCTCTTGTTCCCTTCCTAACTTGACATTGTTTAGGCCTGATGCTGGCTGTCTAGGGCCAAGCACTGGATCACGGGGGGAGGTCATGTGCCAGCCTTTTCTAACTGGAGTAGTGACATACCACGTCTAATGAATTGGCCACAATCTTGCCAGAAAACATTTTTGTGACCAAAAATAATTAATACAAAAAAAACTGTTTACTGTGGATTTGAGATCTTGAAAATGAATTTCTAAAAGGGCACCTCTGCAATTAAATCCCTCTCAGGACATTTTTTTTCCTACTATCACTACAAATTATCATATAGCACTGCAGCAAGCAATACCCTTTTTGTGCCCCTATTGATTTTTTTGGGCTCTGGTATAGTAGCGTAAGTGTCACCCGCAATAGGCCGGCCCCAGTTAGCGGCATGCAGACTGCTCGCGCCAAATCAAAGCCTTAAACATCGCACTGGAAAATCACTTTGCCTGACAATAAAAAATAAAAAAAACTTGCAAAACAAAGCTGCAACAGAAAAAAAAAAACCTGATATAAAACAAACATAATAAAGTATTCTATTTCCAGGCGAGTATGTTTCAACAAAAAGAGAAAGATAAGCAAGATTTTGTCACGGCTGAAAGTAATCCCTTTCTTGTTTGTCGGAAACTATTTCACCAGCTCCCTTTCAAATCTTTTTGATCATAATGAAAAGGAACAAATGCAACTTCACAGCGGAGAACAATAAAAACATATTCACACATAAATGCAAACACAAATAAGTATCTTGCTGCATCTTCTTTTCTTCTCCCCCCCCAAAAAAAAAAAAAAAGGGAGAGAATGTTTTATACATTCCAGCCCTGGTGCACATTCCTCATTTACGAAGGCAAGAATTGAAGCTCCTACGTTCAGTGACAGGTGAACCACAGGGGATAGAATGGATCAAGATATGCACAAAGCAGCTGTCTACCTTTTTGGCTTTCCTCAGATATGTCCTGGCAGAGTCCTTGAAAGCTTCCTCCTCTTCGGGCTCCTTGGCTTGGAGATAACAGACCCATCCCAGCAGATACCAAACCTACAAGACAAGGACGCTCTTTAGGTCACAAAGTGCATAATTACAAGTGAAAAACAGCAAGCCAGACAGGGAGGGAAGATAGGAGACTTGGTTATTAATACTTCTCCTGGAAAGCACAAACGACGGTCATTTAGTCTGTACCACGAATAACAATTCGGTTTTCTGCCGATTTGGGTCAGTTTTTTCTATTACTGTACTCCCCTGCTTCCATAACAAGGTATAGTTATACTTCAGGTAAAGAAATAAGCAGACAAGGACTTAGGGCCCATTTACACCATCCAGTGCGTTCATCGCACCGTCCCGTGGCATGAATGCACTGGATCGCATAATCAAAGGCTCCCCGCATTCTGGGGTGGGAGGGTGCATAGTGGTGCCATTTATTTAAATGGCACCGTAGACACGTCTCCCGCCCACACCAGAACGCCCTGCATTTCACTGAGGTGCGATCGCAAAAAAATGTGCATGCACTGCTGGCGGGAGGCGTGTCTGTGGTGCCATTAAAATGAATAACACCACCACGACCCCTCCCACCCCAGAAATCGGGAAAGTTTTGATTATGCTGTCAAGTGAGTTCATGCCACAGGACTGTGCGATCGACACACTGGATGGTGTGAAGGGGCCCTTAAAGTGTATGTCCAGTCAAAGCTCTTTTTTTTAGTTTTGTAGAATGAGGAAGAGTTTGAACTTCTGTCAAGGTTTCTACTTCTATCTGGAGCTCCATTACAATGACTTTTCCTCCTACCTGACAACATTTTACCAGACAGGAAGGGAACTCTTCAACAGCAACACAGGCAGAACTATTTTTGTATTTTTAGTAAAGTAGGGGATGGCTAGAACCCTTATTAGATTTTCAGTTCTGTTCATCTGTCTGTGTTGCAGATTGTCTATGACTCCCTGTCTGGTGAAACTGCTACCAGCAGAACAGGAACTTAGGATAAATCTCTTATAGCCCGGGTAACAGTAAAAACTAATCAAGGGTTCTAATGCTTCCCCATGCTATCAAACCTAGAAAAAAAGCTTTTGACTTAACATACATGCCCAAAGGAAGTTAGCTGAAGTCGGTGGTTATATCCCTCTATCCACTATCCTAAAATGAGGAACAATCTTCTTAAATTGGGGATTTGTTATAAAAGGAGAAATGTTTTAAGAAGGTTCTACTAAGCTTTGCTGGTTTAGTGGAAGGTTTTTTGGTTGTTTTTGGTCCACTTCACCATACCCTGTCTGGTCATACTTTAATAGTTGCTCCCCAAGCCTACTCAAAGGGAACCATTGTTTACATGCATCGATGATGATCAACAAGAACAAAACAGCTGTATGCATATTGGAATAAATTACTTTATAATATTAGGCTGTTCAATGCAATACACACACGTAATTCTGGATGTACAGCTGGCCTGATGGCATAAAACAGCATTTTTCAACCTTTTTAACATGAAAGCACCCTTGATATAATTTTCAGGTCTCAGGGAACCTCTGCCAATAATTACTATATCTACAGCTTACTGTACATTACTGTGGTGGTTAGCAAGAAGAGTGTCCACTTTCCAGATAGCTAAAAGACCATTAGGGTCAGTGGTAGCTTATCTGAGAGGCAACAATTACTCATGGCTCAAGGAACCCCTAGCAACTTCTGTAGGAAACACTGGCTGAGACAGGCTGGCATAAAATAATGACTTTTATTGCTCCACCAACCATCCTAACTGAGGACTAATACTTTTATCTTGGGGAATTATAATGGAATGAGACCTGTTCTAAGAAGGTTGTACTGTGCTTTGCACTGGTTCAGTAGAAAACTTTTTTTTTTTAATTGTTTCTCTAAAATACATTTATTCATATATGTACACAACTTCATAAAGAGATATAAACATCACCTCAACTCATAAATAATATAACTCATATACATCTCTAAAATATATATCTATTTCATTACTTTCATCCATTCATTGCTTCCTCATTCACAATACACATCTTCACTACTTCACTATCTCACCTCTACTTTCATCTCATATACATTCTACAACTCGTGCCAATCGTCTAGAGAGGGAGGGAAGTAATTACTATATAATTTGTGCAGTAGAAAGCTTTTTGGTTGCTTTTGATTCACCTCACCAGAACCTGTCTGGTTATACTTTATTAGGTGCTTCCCAAGTCTACTCAATAGAGACCATTGTTTACATGTATTGCACCAATGATGGTCAACAAGAATGAAAAGCTGTATGCATTGTGGAATAAGTCGCTCTATAATATTAAGCTGTATCAGTGCATGGCTTGAGGAACCGAGCAACCTTTGGAGGAACACGGGTTGAGAAAGGCTGGCATAAATGAATGATTTGTATGGTACTCTCCACTATAAACCCTTATTTTATGGAACTGTGATCAAATGAAACAAAAATATTCTGTTTTAATAAGCCTTCACATTGGTCCAATAGGGTCTTTATGTTTTTATTTAGTCTACCTCACTTGTCAGGTTTTACTTTCTTTTCCATATTTTTTTTCTTCAAATTATTAATTTGTTCATTTTTTTCACTAAACAATTTTTATTTGGTGGTGAGTGACTACAACATAAGGGGGCCTTACATTTTTATCCTCTTTAAAGATAGGTTGTTTTACCTTACTTGCCGAAGATGTTTAAAGTAATGCACAGGGGACTTTACAACACGCCTTAGGTATATGTGCAATCTTAGATTCTATTTTAGCTCAGAAATCCCACTGATGTTTCTTGACAATACAGTAAAGATCTCCTCAGGACAACTGCACAAATCCCATAGGAATAAAGTAATGACCACTGGGGCTCTATGTACATTGTGACTATGGTTATATGTTAGTGACTGGTTTTACTGTAATCTCTAATGGCATTCGGTATTATAAAAAAGAAGGAGCAAGCGAGACTAAGAAAATGTGATAGATGGGGAACGCGCAATGTTTCTGTGACTGTAAAGCCTGTAATCTTCCATGTGCTGATCCTAAGCGATGCTGGATTAGTTTGGAAAGGAGGATTACTATTAAGTCTTTGCATCTCTGCTACACACACACACCTCTGATCTATGTGATGGGTATGCCAGCAAGAGCTATGATAAAAGATTTCTATAATTTAGGTAAGACTGGGAGTATCCTTACCCCTTTGGGCATAAGAAGCTAAAAATAGGGATATGAGATTTTTTTAAAAATAAAAAAAAATTAAACAGGGTTCTCTGCATTACTGGAGAAATTGACTTAATGTGACAGATGACATGCATGTAACATTATTAGCAATTGGACTTCGGTTCCACATTAGGATTGCACAAAAACAGCAATAAAATCCCCCTAGTGGATTTCTCATGTCATATAAATAAATATGATTAAATCCTTATGCTTTTCTTTCAGTAGTTCTGTTCCAAGGTAAAATAGTAAAACCATAATAACTAAAACCAAGGTATTGACAACTTTTGACATCACACTAATATCGAATAGGACTGGTGATAATGATGATTTAACAGTAGACTGAAGGAGCATAGGGAAATGTTGGTCATCCCATTGGGGTCTGTAAACATTAAAAAAATGAATAACCCCTGGTTTAAGTTAGGGTTACCGCTCAATTGGATATCAGGGCCAATGACCAACAAAACTGACACTGAGAAAGTACCAGTGGTTATTACACATTCCACTCTTTTCTAGGTTTAGTGGTGAGATTTGTCTGCACTAGACTCCACCCTACCCCATAAGACCACAATGCAGGTAGAAGGTCCAGCTGGGTTATTTTAAAAATATATATGACACCTAGCTGGATTCACCTACTTTCACAATTCAGTAACCCAAGCTGTGCTCATGTGCACATGGTAGCTGACCTTACTGCAATAGGAAGGGTGCCAATAGCATCCTAAGTATATACAAATACCTTAAAAACATAACTGGTAGCACAATATAGCCCAACAATTTCAATACAGGGAGCCCCTGGTTTAGGATAGGTTTACTGTCCTATCAGATATCAGACCCAGTGACAAACAAAACTGACACTGGGTGAGGACCAGTGGTTATTACACATCCCACTGTCTTCTAGGTCAAGTGGTCAGATTTGTCTGCACTAGACACCACCCTGCCTCATGCAAAGACCTCAATGAAGGTAGAAGGTCCTGCTGGGTAATTTTTAAAATAACACCAAGCTGAATTGACCAACATTCACAATTCATTAAACCCAAGCTGTGTGATGTGTACTTGGTAGCTGTGCTGACTGCAATAGGATGGGCACCAATGGCCTCCTAAGTATACATACCTACCTTAAAATGTAATTGGTAGCATAGTATAGCCCAACGATTTCAAGCAGGGAGCTTACTCAATACATAATGTAACCAAAAATGAAATACCAAGAGGAGCCTAATCACAAGACTGTTGGAGTATAGTGAAGAGATGCAGAAACTAGATAGTCTGTAAGGCTAATGAAGTTCTTCTTTGAGGTAGGCAGACAAAGTGCTCATTCTGTGTCTATATTCTGTGTACAGTAAAGCATATGTGACAGAAGAATTTCATTTAAAAAAAATAAAAATGATCCGTTGCATCTGTGAGACTTTGCTTGTGGCACAATAACTAAGGCATACCACATGCGTGTACAAACATCCTCATGTGGCATGTGCTCTGTTTATACAGAGAGTAGGCTCAGGTTATATTTAACCATATCCCTTTAAGCCACACCTCCCGTTCATCACAGTATTTCTATCCTCCCAATGCCTCGTCTTTCACAAACCTATCAAAACTCCCATCTATCAGGGGAAAGGGCAAGCAGTAGAAAAGCTACAAGAGCTTATAGGGGCATAAGGGAACAATAAATAGAGTAATCCCCTCTAAAGTGGTACATAATGTATAAATACTATGAAAGAGTGGTAAATACATGGAAGTAAGGCATTATTTGTGTGACTTTATGAGTTATTTTGTATCGGCTGCACACAGCAAAGATGTTTAAAGGATACGTTTACCTTTTGCCAAAATTAAAGAAATACATAATTAATAATAGTGATTGAGTGATCACAATTGCAATGCTTTCCAGGCTTGAATGCAAATATTAAAGAAATACATATTTTTGTACATATTACTAATTATGCATTTCTTTAATTTTTGCAAAAGGTGAACTTATCCTTTAAGAGGAAATATTTGAGAAGAATAGGGAACTTTATAGAAATGCTTAAGCAATATACTGTATCAGGTTAATCACTTGTATTGTGGACTGGATTGTATTGTGGGCTTCATGGAGGGAGTTTATTCAATGCTGAGTAGAGTTCAGGTATATTGTGGGTACGGCCTATGATAACAGTATGTTTCAGGCATCTTTAGCGCTGTCTTGTCTTCCTTTTCTGATATGAGCCCTGCCACTGAGGATAGATAGAGTTCATTTTGCTTGTTAATTTTTGTGTTTACCAAACATGCCAGCCACTTAACATAATGTACAGCACACAATAGGGAGACCCACAGATGGAACTGCACAATGATGCAATGAATGGAGCACTTTCTGCATACAGTAAATCATTTAACATGTGTTATCCAGAAAAGAATTGTGCCTGATAAATCGGTGAAGCGTGTTTTAAATGAAGACGAATGTATGGAAATGCATTGCTTGCAAGGTAAGACCAGTGGTAACGCACTCAAGGGCTCTTGAACAATAACAGCAAATGAAAAATAAAAAGGCATCGGCTGGTTAGACAGAATGTCTTGAAGCAGAACATTAAACAGGAAGACAATTTTAGGGGGGGTTCTATGTGACAAAGCAATAAAAGCCTCATTTGAGCAGAAATGATAATAAATGTTTCTGTCCAGATTTACATTTTGCATTGTGGATCCTAGTCACAATGCATGGCGCCCTATCACGAACAGAAAAACAGGCATACTGTTGTAGATTTTTTTATTATACAACTTTGAGTTCATTAGACCATCATTGATTCCACATTAACCAAATGTTAATGCTGGTGCCACAATGTTATACTGCCTGCACCATGCTTCACAGTTGGGATAGAGGTTAATGTGTCGTTATGCACTATTTTGTTTTGTCCAAACATACCTCTGAAAATATTTACCAGAAATGCCAACTTGATATTGTTTCATTCATGCTGATAAAACTCCAGCAAACAGAGATGATTTCTAACTATGGATAGAGATGGGAAGGGTTAGGAGCTTTGTCAAGATTTTGTTGCTGTCAGTCTCCCTTCTGTAAAGATGCCAACAGGTCAGAATTATGAAGACCATCATTTTACATCAGTAATTGGATGATGAATAGAGGTGATATCCTTCATGGTAGATACCTGTTATAGTGACAACTGTCAAAAAAGGATTTCCTCTTCCTGTCATGTCTTTTGACCAAGAATAGAGGAATATTTTCATTAAGGGGGACACTGGCAACAATAGATTCCTGCATATTAAACTTGTTGGATATAGAAATGAAAATGTGATACCACACCCCAATTTCAAACAATATCCTATTAAAACAATAAAAATCTGATTGAGGCCCCCAAGCCTTCTTCAACAATCCAAAGGAAAAAAGGTTTAGGCTGGAGGGTCTATCAGAACCGTGCAGTATTGTCAGTTACCATTTGTTTGATCACAGACTGCCAATACATCATCCATTATTACCTGTAGACTATATAAATGGATACAAACTGTGATGCCCTTTTGCTTCTGTCAGGCAAATGTTTGTTACCTATGGGGCTGAAAATAAAATCATTTTTAAAGTGACACTAAACTCAGGAGTTAAATCATAAATATGCATTCAAAAAGCTTAACTACTAACATAAATGTATCTTATTTGTGTATCACTCAGCTGTAGATCCTCAAATCGTCTGTGAATTCATGTTGACACTGTCCTTCCTACTGGAAGGTGTTTACTTTTGTTCCCCATGGTCTCTGTGTGTGTTGTAAAGTAGTCACCGCTCCAAGCTCACTCCCGGGATGGACTACAAACTCATGTTTAGTTTTCTAATTGTTATTGAAATTTTAGTCCATCCCAGGAGTGAGCTTGGAGCGGTGACTACTTTACAACACACACAGGGACCATGGAGAACAAAAGTAGCCCCCCTCCAGAAGGAAGGACAGTGTCAGCACCAATTCAGAGATGATTTGGAGGATCTACAGCCGAGTGATACACAAATAAGATACATTTTTGTTAATTGTTAAGGGAATTAAATGCATTTTTAAGGTTTAACCCCTGAGTTTAGTGTCACTTTAAGCTTTCGACTTTTAACCTCTGTGCTTACAACTTCTTCCATTTAGGAGTCACATAAGTAGGAAAACCCTGAAGAAGTGTTGCGCCCCATGAAATGAGTCGGGTTCTCACTGCTGTGTACGTATGCAGGCTTCTGATTTTTGTACTCTCAAAAAACTTTCCAGATTTGTATTATAATATCTGTGTTCTAAAGATTATTGATATGTGGCCAAATGCACTTGTTTTATGGACTAAAATACATGGGACTGTGTGCTAAACACAGAGTGTGTGAAGGTCTTGTTGCACTCTTTACTGGATGTCCCAATAGCAGGGAAGGGTCAATGTTAAGCCTGATGAAGGGACCCTGCGTGGCCCCGAAAGCACTCGTCTTCATTTGACATGGTTCTTAATAAATGAACACTTGGTTATCCTGAAAGGACTTCTGGAGTGCTGATGGCATTCTTACAAACAATGTGTGCTAAACATATCCTCAGCTGCTAAATATTGGCTTGTATTGCAAATATCAACATTGCTCCTGACAAGAAGAATCCTGACCATGAAGTGTAAGACAGATGCCATAGTGGACAAGAAGCATTCACCGTCAGTGAACATTTGAGCAATGTTCAAAGCTCAATAATAGACATATCCTAAGGCTCAATATTGTTTTTCCACAAACGTTAGAGTGAAATTGAAGCCAGGTCTATCTACACAAATAAATCAAAGCAACTGAAAATTCTGCAATTTTCTTGAAGATGTGTCGTTGGTCATCTGACCAGCTTTCTCAATTCAGAATTGGATGACCAGCAAAATGTCTTCAAGAAAAATACTGCAAGTCCAGTTGCCTTAATTTATTTTTTACAGATATACTATTACCTGGATGAATGAGAAATTTCACAGACAACTGAAGTAAGGATATTTTTTTTTATTTTGAATAACGTGGAGTTAAGAACACCTCATTGGCGTCACAAGGGGGGTGTGGGCCGCACCCGGGTGTCACCATTGCAGGGGTGACAGTAAAATGATTGACAGTCATTTTGGTGTCACCCCCTCTAAAAAATCGGGCACTCGGTCATGGACCGAGAGCCCAACATTGTCAGGAGAGAGGAGGGCACAAGGCGGCGGAATAACTCATCTCGCCGGATGAACGTCCCCTCCTCTCTCTGCCGGCGTCCACCACCAAGATGGCCGACGGCAGGCGTCAATCAGATGGTCGCGCATGCGCGAGGTGACGTCACGCGCATGCGCGATGACATAACATTCGTGATGGCAACACGGCACGGTGTCACCCGGTCTAGAGACCGGGTGACACCCAGCCTCGGGACGCCCCTGGAACACCTGTCAGATTTGTATTGCCGTCTGTGTCCCTGTTAGGGAAATTCACCCTCTCTATTTGTCCTGGTGACCTTTATCACTGAAAGTAAAAGTAAAAGAAAATCCCAAATTTGTGGTCATCGGAACAGGAATAGATGGAAAATCTTTGAATGAGGACACCAGTTCCGCTGACCTTGCTGACTGCCAGGGATTTCTCTCTCTTTGCTAGGATTTTCTCACACTTCCTGTTGTGTACATCAGACAGGAAGTGAAAGAAAATCTCCCCAATGGAACACAGATGGCAAAAAAAAAACCAAAAACGTACACGTTCTAACCATCTCCTATTCTATCCAAAACTAAAAACAAAATGGCTTCATTTCTAATTTAATCTAAGTAGTTTTGTATGTATTTTGTTACATACCTGTATCACTTCATCGTCTTCTTCCAAAAGGCCTTCTAGAATCTCAGCAGCAAGCTGAAAAAAACAAAGTATGAATCATCAATCATTTATTTATACTTCAGAGGGAAATTTGTGGGGCATTACGTTATTAAACAAAGGGTTCAAGTCGTCAATAAAACCTAACAATGATAAGTGAGTGGAGCACATTAGAGTGCGCTGATGCATTTACAGTCCCCATGTATAATACAATAAAGAATAATGGATCTTAAAGGGAAAATCCAGACATATAGCAAAGCTGCACATATAAGAATTATTGAACATGCCAAAAGTTACTTATGTTATGCCATCCAACTCGCCTATGGTGGGGAGTATAAAAGGCCACGCAATTCTGCACCAACTCCGACCTGCAGTTTACCTGACTAGTGAACATACTGATAACCAGGGCCGGATTCCTCAATGCGTCCCCCTACCCGCCGCCAAATTCCCCCCCCCCCTCCATGGAGAATGGCAGACCTGTAGGCATACAAAACAACCGGCGGCTTCCCCGCTGTACATTTAGCTCTGCTTGCCCAAAGTAGGGCTAAATGTAAAAAACGGCTAACTGCACGGCACTGCATGTCCCGGGCATCGGGAGATAGGTATTCCACACCCATGGTGCCCCTCTACTCCCTGCTGCCCCAAGGCCGGGCCTTGGTTGGCCTTGTGGAAAATCCGGAACTGGTGATAACAAACTTTTATATTTCACTTTCCTATAACCTCAGAATGTTTCTTGCCAATCTGTTTTCAGAGGCAACTTTCCCTCTGGAGTTTTGATAATTGGGCTGCCTTGTACCAATTTAACATCAAGTTGTCTGGTAAAATAACATTAATTAGATTGAAAAATTATTTTAAACTTCTGTAGGAATATATGATAACATACCCCCTGTACCATGCACGGTGTTCCTTGTTTTGTAGCCTCCCTCCTATCCTTGAAACTTTGTATCCCTGAAATAAACTTTTACTCTGAAAAGAATACATAAGCAGAGGTTACATATAGGGATACCCCGATACCAATACTAGTAACGGTATCGGTGCTGATACTGAGTATTTGAGCGAGTACTCGTCCAAATGTTCCAGATGCTTATTCCGATACAGGAACTTCCAAGATATTGTACGCCGCCCAGCTTCCTGATTGGCAGGGAAGCCGGCTCCATGCTCCCTCCTCACTTGGCCCAGCTTTCAGATTGGTTGGGAAGCTGGGCCAATCAGGAAGCCGGGCAGCGAGTCATTACCCACCCCCAGCTTCCTGATTGGCCAGAAAGCCGGGCTCCACGCTTCCTCGTCATCTGGTGATGAGGGAGCATGGAGCCAGCTTCCCAGCAGTCTGATATATCTCTATGTCTCATTTCTTCTGTCTCTCTGGGTGGAATGTTTGGATGGCAGAAAGAAAATTTGTATCAAGGTAAGGCTTCCCTCGTGAAAGCCGGCTCCCTGCTTCCTCGCCACCCGGTGACGAAGGAGCATGGAGCCAGCTGCCCGTCTAATCAGGAAGCCAGGCGGCGTGCAATGACTCCTTAATGGGACTTCCGATATCAATATTCAGTATCAGCGAGTACCGAAAAAAATATTGGTACTCGTACTTGATCTACTCGTACTATGCATTCCTAGTTACATATTATACAAACCACATGTCAAATTGATCAATCAATGCACTGCAATAGGCAAATTAAATTAAAGCGTATCTTTATCCAAAACCAAAAGTAGTATACTGCAGCTTACGTTACTTAGATGTGGTGGCCGCATTCTTTTTCATCTTTTTTTCCTTTATTTTGTCACCTGCCAACTCTGACAGTAACACACTTTCTGTCCTAAGGTGTCAACGCTCAATTCTGATTTGGACACCAAAAACACCTCTCCCCTTCTCAATCACATAGAAATGGGGGTTTGTGCAGTTCAAAGAATAGAACTGGGAAGGCTTATACATGTTTGAGATTTCAGTTCAGGACACCCCTCAGATTAGCCCCAATTCCTGCACCTTCACACCTCAGAGCAGACCCAATTCCTGCACCTTCAGGTGATCTCACTTCCTGCACCTTCATACAACAGATTAGCCCCAGTTCCTGCACCTTCACACCTCAGAGCAGACCCAATTGCTGCACCTTCAGGTGAACTCACTTCCTGCACCTTCATACAACAGATTAGCCCCAGTTCCTGCACCTTCACACCTCAGAGCAGACCCAATTCCTGCACCTTCAGGTGATCTCACTTCCTGCACCTTCATACAACAGATTAGCCCCAGTTCCTGAATCTTCACACCTCATATCAGCTCCAATTCCTGCACCTTCAGATTTCAGGGGACCCCACTTCCTGCACCCACATACAACAGACCAGCCCCAATTCCTGAATCTTCACACCTCATATTGGCCCCAATTCCTGCACCTTCATACCTCAGATCAGCTCCAATTCGTGCCTTTTCAGATCTCAGATCACACTCAATTCCTGCACATACACACCTCAGATGACCCCAGTTTCTGCACCTGTATACAACAGCGCAGACCCAAATTCCTGCCACATACACTGCACCTTCAGACCTCAGATAAAAAGCAGTTGCTGCACCTTCAGACCTCAGATCAGCCCTGATTCCTTTGGGGTTGTTCGTTCTAACCCACCTAATAAAAAGTGTGCTCCTGCTAGAGAGATTTCCTATCACTTCCTATCCTGACAGGAAGTGAGGGGACAATACAACAAATGCTTGACATAATCAGCTGGATTGTGCAAACACACATTATTATATTCACTTGATCTCCTCCACCAAGTGGATATATTAATCCAATCTCCAAGTCCAATCTCTGTATTCATCAATATACTTGTGACAAAGGTACCTATTGATCCTAGATACATTTTAAGCCCATACACCACCCTTTGAGTCCCCCTTTCCCCCCACCCAGTTTAAAAAATGCATAAGTTTGTTTCCACTGACCCTCTCCTTTTTACACAGCTATACAAATCTTAGGTCACAAAGTAGTTACAGGTTGTATGGGGCCTTGGGTAGTGGCACCCATTCAAAATAGTGCCAAGCAGAATAAAATATAACTCAATGTACATCTCTGTAGCCTTAAACCTATTGACATAAAAAATAACAATTTCCAAGTCTGTAAATGACTATGCTATCACCTGACCCGTATTTAATGGTGGGTTTGTTAAACAGAACATTTAAAAAATTTGTTTGCACAATTTTAGGTGAGTTGTGGCACATTCAACGCGTGCGCATCATTAAGGCAACGCCTTGGTGTGAAAGAGTCATTATTTCTAGTGCTAGAATTTGTGCTAGTTTCAGGATCCCCTTTTCCTTCTCAGTAATAAATACATGGCAGTGGTTCTAGCCCTACTATTAGGGATGTTTAGATACCAAGTACCGTATTCAGTACAAGCACGTGTACAGATACTTATCCAGCTCCAGGACTAGACTAGAGAAAAATTAAAAAAGTTAGGAGGCAGCTGTCATTTGTAAGGAGCACACAAAGCTCCTGGGTTTTGCACATCCCCATTTTAATGCATTATTGTTTTTTTTAATAAATATAAATAAAGGGATGCACCGATACCATCTTTCCACGTACAAGTACTGATACTTGTCCAAGTACTTGCAGATAAAAGTACTGATACATTTTTGTTTATTGTTATGTGACAGTTTTTCGAAAACAATACAGACTAATGGTTTCAGGACAGCGGTGGAACGTCAGAGCCCAGTCCCAGCTGCAACCGCTGCAACCCTGGTAGTTCTCATGAAAATGCCAAGTATCAGCACTGGTATCTGAACATCCCTACCTACTATACAAAACAAAAAGGTTTCGTCTGGATGTAGGCTGTCAACCATTGGACAATTTGCCCTCTCTCCAACCCTTTAACAAAACATCAGCGCTCGCAGTTCCACAGCGTTTAGCATCTCTAGGGAATTTTTCAAATGAATATTTACAAAATTGAAATTACACAGACATAATGACAAAGTCATAGCTGGGAATCTAGCAACGTTATTAAAGCTAGCAGCAGGTAAAGAGGAGAGAAGACATTATGAATTCTGCCCATATTCCTTTTTAATACCAATATATAAATTAACAATGACTGTATGCAAACATTAATTGCTTCTTTTGAAAACAATTCCCCGAGACATCATTAATTTATGTGAACTAGGAGCAGCTAATCTTTGCGGTATGAAGCCAGAGCAGACATGAGCTATTAGTGATATGGGTACTATGCATTTCAAACACAGTGTGTCATTTTGCATTCATATATCTAGCAGGAGTTATTCTTCATATATATGCATGCTAAAGATTGCAGAGCTGTCTATCCTGCTGTTACATATTTATTTTCTTTAAGGTATTTCAAATGAAAGACAGCCAAAAATACCAAAATCCAGGCTTTTTTTTTGCAGTGCTGTAGGTGAACTCCACTACTGGGAGAAGGATTCAGTCCTCCACCTTTATGGCTATATGGGGCTCTACCTCCACTTCAGGGTTTAAAGTGAATCTGTCATAGAAGAAGTACAAGGACCTCCATTGCTGGTCTCCTTTTGGAAATGGTAGAATTCCCCCGAGACATCATTAATACTGTAAAATATGTGAACTATGAAGCCAGAGCAGACACGAGCTATTAGTGATATGGGTGCTATGCACTTCAAACACAGTGTGTCATTTTGCATTTATATATCCAGGAGAAGTTATTCATCATATATATTCATGTTAAAGATTACAGAACTGCTGTTATGTATTTATTTTATTTAAAGGGTTATTAAACATTCAGCGGTTTTTGCATATATCTACTGCAACCAAGCAGTAGATATATGCAAACGCAAAAAAAAAAAAAACGTTAAAAAAGGGTTTAAACTTACCCGTGTCTTCGCTGCATGCTCCCGTCCAAACATCTGAAGAGTCTCGGGTGGCCGCAAAGGATCTAGGGGCGGGCGCATGTGCAGTTCAGATGTTTGGCTGGGAGACGGTGAGATACAAGGCAAGTCTATGGAGCAGCGTGCACCCGCACAAACACCGTGGTACGTCAGAGTAGAGGAGGATAGAGGAGTCAGCGCTGGCTCGGAGACCCGCACCAGC